ATCCTGGGAAGTCCTCTCACCACATACAGGAATCCACCTCGACGGGATCATGTGTAACAACCCTCTGCTTTCTTCCATTAGCTGTACCTAATTTAGAAGTGGTACTCTAGAGGGAAGGCAGGTGGTCAACACCATCCAACAACTCCTCTTGGAATACTCTTTACTAATGTAAAATGGGAATGGTCATCACATTATAATCCTTCCATGGCTTAATGGGCAAGCATTTTTGGTGATGGCGAACCTGCAGATTAAATGTTGAGTGCCTTAACCACCAAGTCATACCAGACCTTATTATCTATTACACACTGTGACAAAAATGTCTATTAGCTTTAATACATGGTCTAGTCACAATAATTTTAAAGAAACAATTAGTTTATTAAGTATTAATCATATTTTCAGCTTGTTAAAGGTTTTGCACTATGTTATGTAGATCATAAGTTTTCCTGTATAACAGTTTACATTCAATAAAAGTTATAATTTTTCTATACTGAAAATGTATTTTCGATGGGTACTTCCCTCTTCTCACAATATTAGCTATTCTTGATCATTGCTGCCCTCTATATGAAAACGTTTTTATTATGCATGCCACAAGCCTTCTGCACCCCCCTACTGGAATCAAATGATTCAAATTTGTCTCTCATGCAAATCATCATGCATCACTTCTCCACCAATAGGAGAATAGTACACTCACGTGATGCATATGACTCCCTCTATGTGCCTCTACCAACCTATCACTTCAAAGTTTGGCAAATAACGGAAGCATCTTAAGTGACTGGAGAGGAAGGGTGGGAAGTGTGAATGGAGGGAATTACCTTTATGAAATACATTTTCAATATAGGAAAATAACTTCATATACGGTACTTTTCTCCACTCACAAGATCAGCTAGAATCCCATATTGATTAAGAGGATGGACCGGTGCAAGGGAAGAACAGATGTACACCCTGAAAGCATCTGAAGGATATCTTTGTAGATGCGAGAATCATATCTGAAAAGGAAGAACCACACCACTTCTGATCCAGGGATATTTTTTGTCCCTATGTCGAATATGTAAGAAATTATGGCGGAAAATGAGAGTACATCCAAGTGGGAGAGAATGTGGTAGGAGAGTGATCCTAACCAGAGAAAGATATAGTAACTCAATCGCATATTAAGAAAAGTGGGTAAATGAGGATGGGTCCCATAGTATAGTGGCTACGACATGGCGGACCATACTAAGTAAGTCAACGACATCCAAAACCTCCTCACAGGGTACTGACATACACGCAAGGGTATGATGAAGAACATACTGTCTTCACCATGAACCTAAGAACCAAGGAATTGAGAACCACTCTGATTCCTGGGAATTACACAGGATTAGCTCTGAGTTATAGATCTGGGAATTTGACATCCAGTATCAAAAGGAAGTATATCACATGCAATAAACTCCCGCGATTGTGAAACAGATCAGAACCATCCAAAGGGCAATAAGATCCACTTAATAAGAGAGAATGAGGGAGAGCCAAAGACAGAACAGGAATAGTCCCATGTATCCCTGCTGTGACCCACAACACAGAAGGAGGAAATCAAGGGAGGAAGATAGACAACCCTAAACCAGCCCACGGGGTACTGACATCCACATGAGGGCAGGATGAGAGCTCCCAATCGAAGGGGGGAACTGCATTCTGATGTCTCACTCCATTGTATTGTTAATCGCAAACTGGAGGATATTATTTCATCTACACCAGCAGAACACCACCGTCCGGTTCTAAACTGAATGGTTATAGCCATCTTATGTGGAACCCATCCAGCAGGGTGCCTTCATGGTCAACCACCCCAGTGGCTTGGACCTGGTAAGCAGTAATAACTCCCATAATCCACTAGAAGAAAAGGGGGACTGATAATGTCAGAGAGCCCGGAGGAGCAATGACACCCAAGACAGTGCAATGGGTGATCATGAAAAGCAGACCATACAGATTTATTCAATTAAGGCATGGCAGGGATGGGCAGCTATCCCCTTCTGCTTTACCCATGAAATCCATGGGTGGTATGGTCAGGGACAGGCCTATTTATGAAGCAAATATCATGAGGTTATTCACCTACAAGTGATCTTGTGAAAAACCCCATCTCAAAAGTGAGCATGTGAAGCCGTGGTAATGAAAATGCTAGTCAACATGGTGTACAGTGCAGATTTAGAGTCAAAGAATACCTGGCCAGGCACCATTTTCCAAGGAGTGGGATCCATCTAATGAAGGTATGAAGAATGGGACCCTGAAAGAAAAGAAAGTATTAATAAAGACTTACCCAGTGTCAGAGTCACACAGTTGGAAGATAAAAACCAGAGGAAGCCGAAACCAATTTGAGAACTAATGCTATCTCAAACACTAATCCAGATGAAAAAAGAAAGACATCTGAGTGCAAGTGCTGCCAAACAAGAAGTGATAGTTCGGTAGAGGCACATAGAGGAAGTCACATTCATCATACTATTCTCCTATTGGTGGAGAAGTGGTGCATGATGATTTACAGGAGAAACACATTAGAATCATATGATTCCAATAGGGAGGTGCAGAAGGCTTGTGGCATGCATAATAAAAAAGTTCTCATATAAAGGGAAGCAATAAACAGGAATAGCTAATCTTGTGAGTGGAGGGAAGTACCGTATCAGAAATAACTTAATCCTAAATTCTTGTACCTGAAAATATCTATTATATTAAAAGAAAAGCAGTTTGAAAATATCTTTTAAAAACTTAACCTGAAAATAGGACAATTAGTTTCATATGAAGGTAACTGATTAGTTGAATGCAATTGAAGTACCAAGTGATCTCTTGTTGTCAATAAGTTCTTTTGTATTATTAACTACAAGTTTGATTTTTTTTTAAATCTCTTAAATCTCAATGCCACAGAAAAGTACAACAGTCACATTATACAATCTAAGTTTAAACTTTCCACATAATTTAAGTGGTATTATAAAGCAGTTAAACTAATTTCATACTTTATGCAATTGCTATTGCTTTATATAAGCTAAAACCATACAGAACACCAAAGTTTCTAGCACTAAAAATTGAATCAAAAGCATAATTTTCAAACTTGCAACACACCTATTCTACATTTGTACCGGCTTCCTTTCTTATTCGCTAGTTCAACTGGCTGTAGCTTTTCCTTAAGGTAAATAATGTAACATTAAAGGACAGCAAGGGACCTTTTGGTCCATCTAGACTGTTCTATCAACTAAATTAAACCAAACTCTTAAAAAAAACTCAGCTCTTATCATTCAAATGTTTATAAAGCTTTCCCTTATATTAACTGCATCCACCACAATCAAAGGCAACCCATTCCAGAGGCCAACCATCCTGTTAGGAAAATAAATCTGTCTTGGGTGAAGATGACTTCTTCCTTGTCAAAATATATAATTGTATCTCCTAATCTTTCCATTTGCACCATTAAATTTGAAAAATGTTGATACATCAACATTATTAATTCCCTTAACTATCTTAAATACCTCAATCAGATCCACTCTAACTCTTCTCTTTTCAAGAGAAAACAAATTCAGAGATCTTGCCCTATCCTGAAATGATAACCTTTCCATCCCAGATATAATTACACTAGCCTTCCACTGAACTCTTTTCAATAATTCAATGTCCCTTCTGCAGTAAGGAGCCCAAAACTGAACACAATATCCCAAACGTGGCCTAATGAATGACTTATACAATAACATTATAGCTTCTTTAGGCTTTGTATTCATGAATTCTGTAAATACAACCTAAATTCCTATTTGCCCTGTCACTAGAAACTGCACAATGCTTGGATAACTTAAGAGATGATCAACCAGAACACCAAGATCTTTTTCTTCCATAATACTGTTACAGTTATTTCCATCAAAATTATACTGAATTCAAATTGTAATATCCCACATGCATTACCTTGCTTCTATTAGAATTAAAAACCATCTACCATTCATTCACTCAACTCACCAAATCCATCTGTAAGGCAGTAGAACCCCTCCTCACAGCCAGAAACATCCAAAACTTCATTGTAATCAGTAAATTTATGTGATCTATTGACCATTCTTTCATCTATGTCATTTATTGTAAAGCAAGAAAGAGCAAAGGTCCTAATAGTAATACTGAGCCTTGAGGTATTTCACTTGTAACATTAATCTAGTTTGGCTAACTGTTTATATTATAACCCTCTGCCTTCTTCCATTCAGCCAGTTTTCTATCCAATGAGCCAACTTTTCTCCCACACCTACAGACATAACTTTTTTTAACAAGCCTTTTATATCGCATCTTGTCAAAAGTTTTCTAAAAATCCAGATATACCACATCCACACCAAGCAATACTTCTATCTACATAAACAGTAACTTCTTCAAAGAAAGTCAAAAGGACTAGTAAGGCAAGATTTTCCCCTAGTGAAACAATGCTGACTATCCAACAAAATTTTAAAGTTTGTTAATTGACTTTGCAAAGTATATTTCATCACTATTCAAAAACTTTTCCCACCAATGATGTGGGACTAATACTAATAGGCTTATAAAAAATATAAGTACTTAGATAATGTTTGTCACCTAAAAGGGCTTTTCATTATTGCAAAATAAATAAATATTACACTCAATAATTCCAAAATGATTTCTATTGTCATTGTTTTCAAACATGATATAGTCAACACAAGTCAACTTTCACTCACTCAGTAATCCTCATAACGACAAAACTTGAAGTTCCACAACTACAACTTAAAACCCTTGTTTCAACCATTTTCTTACACTTTAAAAATTCAATTATCAACAGGAAATTTTTGATAATCAATATTAGAAACTACTTCTCTCTCTCTCTTTTTTTTTACGAACCAACATTCAACGATTTACTAAGGTCCTTACAACTTGCACCAGAGTGACCGGACAATAGCTCGTAGTCGTAGGTACTTTTTAAAAATTTCTTTTCATACTAACTTAATTAAGCCACGGGGTAAGCCTACATCTATTTACTTCAGAGCTAAAGATGTAAATTTCACATATTTTCAACTTACCAACTGAGTTTAGAAAGTCCATGACACTGGGTCACCGATAGCCAAAACAAAACTGACACTGGCAACGACAAACTCACACGGCAACACTGACACTATTTAATTTAATATATTTACTTTTACTATAGTTTTGAAATAGAAGTTGAGTTTAGCCTTGTCTGTAAACTGGGAACCAATATTAAAATACATATATTTGGTACATATCTGTTCTGTTTTCGAATTTATTCACTTATACGTTTGAACTAGTCCCCTAGTACTAGAAGTAATATACACTATTCCCAGAACGTCACACAGCAAAGAACTTACTAATAAAAAGTATTTAGACTAATATCAAAATGAAAAAGAAAAGGTTACCTTTAATTTTCATGACATATTTTTAGAAAGGGCAAAAAAGTACTTCGTCTTAAAAATAAAGTTTAAAATATTATATAAGACATTTTAGGGTTATGATTATTTTATTTTAGGAATTGTTTTGTAATTTTTCGATTAACTTATCTTAAAACTTGCAGAATAACTTTTTCTAATTTGGTTTTCAAAGTTAAAAGAAGGAAAACCCGAGGTTAGTATGTAATTACTAATATGGTCTGAGAATTTAGGTATTTTGGGCCAAAGAAATCGTATACACAGCGTGGTAACAAGTAAATAGACACCACCTTTTCA